AGACAGTTTCTTCCCACAGGCTGTTTCTCTGTTGAACATTCAATAGAGTACAAAACAACAGCATACAGATGTTGCAAATGCACCTTTTTATTATATATGTGTATATTGTACATTGTAAATATGTATATTCGGTAATGCAAAAAACAAAACCAAAGAGCAAAGTGTACCGGAGTCAAATTCCTTGTTTGTATGTATGAACTTGGCAATAAAGCGGATTCTGATTCTGATAAGGTCTATAAAGAAATGAGTGGGTAAGTTTGGTGTGGAAGAACATGACTGGGCTGCATCTCAACCTGATAGAACGCCTTTGAAATCCACAATAAATCCCATGGATTAAAATGTGTTATCACTCAAGACAGACAAGCAAATACATTTGGCAATATCGTGAATGTTTAATGTTTAATTGTGCTTTTCGTCAATCTTCAGATTAGGCCTCGTGAAGTGGCAAAGCAGGGTGCATTCATTGTTTGTAGCAAATCTGCCTCTATCAGCAGAATCAGTTTATCCTGTGGGTGGGCTTTGAAAAAGGCGCTCAAAGCAATTTGAGTAATTTGTCTAAAGGAATGTCGCACAAAGCTGACAGACTGATTTACTGAGGCTCAGTGATTCATGCACATGACTAGTGTTTAGATTTTTCATACCCAACATCAAAGGACCTTGATCCTTCCTTGCACTTATAATCCCATAACCCTGCTGTGTTTTTGTAGAAGAGTATGGGAAACATGTTTTAATATGCACGTGTGTGTATATGCCACAGTGTCACACACTGCATGGGAACATACAGATATATAGGCATATAAGTAAACAACATATTCTGTGTTGCTGTTATGAAAGTGTTGATATATATAGGTCATGCCAAAACTGCATGCGTGTCGTTCTAATTGGATAAGATAGGAGGTTGAGAACTTCAAACCTGCATGCCTTTAAACCTTTAACTCAACATAAACAATAGAATAAATTACATTTACATTTTTGCCAGTCTGCTTCTTAAACTTTTTTGTCCTCCCACTCTTTCCTTACACTCATTTCCATACACCTTTTAAGAGATGAAACCCTGCAATTGCAAATTTTAAATAAAAGGAATTTTATTTTGCTATTTATAAATGAAATATATAGCTTTTTATCTGCATCAATAAGAACTGTAACTGATATAAATTAATTTCTAGGATTGACTTTTGTATTCATCTCACTATGACTTACAGACCTGGTCTAAAGTTGGATGGATGGTGGTCTGAGATCTGGTTACATTAACCCATGTAAATTTAAAAAAAATGTGTTTTTTGCACTTGTTCTTTTTGCTTACAGGCAAATGGAGTTTTGATTCTGCAAAAATTAGGATTTTTAGAAACAGTACAATTGCATGCTGTGTCATGCATGCCAACTGTTTATGTGAAAGAAACAACCACAAGAAGCCAAAAGAAATTCTAAAAAAAATGCTAATCTAAGTAGTTGATTTACCCATGTCCTCTGCTCTGCCTCTGTCCCAAAGTCGTTTTTTTCATTTAAAAAAAGTGTTTTAAGACAGTAAATGGAATACGAGCGTTAACATATTCAAATACTGTGTACGATATTCATACTTTGTAATACTGTAGATTTTTATTAATAAAATTTGTCAATATAAAGATGTCTGATGATTCACGGTCTCATACTGCCTGGCAGCAAAATTGCCCCTTGTAGGCCATAAAGACTTACTCTGCAGTATAATCATACAGAACACAGAAAGAATCAAAACAGAAGGAAAGTAGCTGCAAGCAGTAAGAAAAAAAAGTTGAGAAGCGTTCCATTTCTTTCCACTGTAAGTCATTAACAAAAACTGTATAGAAGCTTACAAAAAGTGCCAGCACAAACTCTAAATGATAGATAGAATACAGCAGAGCAGCATAGAGCTCCAAGAACAGCTCCAAGAACAGTATGTATGCATCAGACTGAGGGGTTATTGATCTACAATCACATGTTTAACATGGTTATTGATTACAAATTTAGAATTGCTCTGTCTAAATCGTGCCTGTCTGATGATATTACTACAGGTCAAGAGAGTGGTCTATGATCTATATCAAATAGCAAGGACCATTTTCTTGAACTTATATATAGACTTCCTCTGTCTTCATTTGTGTAACACCTCAAAAGAGTAAATGTCAGATTAAAGCCCCAAAGTTCAAGTTATTTTATTAGGATTTGGATAATGAAGCAAGACAGAAAAAGTAGCATGTAACTGTAGAAGTAGAAGAAGGATACATAGTTTTCACACCATGAAGAACCCAAAAGGTCCTTGGTAACTCTGGAAGAGTTGCTGAGATCCACTGCTCAGGGTGGAGGATCCTTCAACAGGACAACTATTGCACTCTACAAATTTGGCCTCTCTGGAAAAGTGGGAAAAAGAAAGGAATGGGAAGTCCCATTTGCAGTTTGACACAAAGCCATGTAGAGGAATCCAAAACAGGCAGGAAAGTGGGCTTGGAGGGGGACTATTGATTAAGAGGACACTGCAAACATGAGGCAGAACGTTATCTGGTCATAGAAAATGTTCTGAACAGAGAAACTCATCAGAGCTGACGCAAAGATGAATAGAGATGAATACTGATTGATCCTGGAGAGGAACTATGTGATACTGCAAAACACAACATTGGGCTGGGAGTTTATCTTCCAGCAGTACAACAACCCAGCATAAGACCCAAAGTTGATTTGTCTGAATGGACAAGAGAAAGTTCAGACCTAAATTTAATTGAGAACTTGTGGAAAGACTTGTATTTACAGACACTATTAGCAATCTGACTGAGTTTGAGCCATATTGCAGGGAAGAACAGGCAAATATTTTGACTTGTCTACATACCCCAAAGGATTTGCATATGTAATTGTAGCAAAAGGTGGTATTCCAAAATATTGACTCAGGTGCGCTGAAGACAAATGCAGAACAAATTTTTTATTTGTAAAACATTTTAACAACTTGTATTCTTCTTCTTCTACTTTACAATTATGATATTGAAGAATGTGGTTGTAATGCGGCAATAAGAGAAAAAGTTCAAAGGATATGAATATCTTCCAGACCATGTTTAAATTGAAAAAATAAATTCAGAAGATAGTCTGTCAGAATTTGGTTAGCAAAGAATGAAAGAAACAAAGTTGGGATGTACCACTTCTAGAGACAAAACAAAACAAAACAAAAACCATGCTAAAACATTGATAACAGTAAAGATGCACCTCAAGCAGTTGAATGAAAGTCAAACTTTTTCCAGGATAATAATTTCTCTTCCTGATAAAAACTCCATATTTAGCTTGAAACATGATAAGATAAATAAGTTTAGAAAATACGCCAAATTTATTTACTGATGAGGCGACGGTGGCTCAGTGGTAAGAGTAGATGACTTGCAATCTGAAAATTGTTGGTTTGATTCCAGCTTCCTCCTTCCACATGTCGATGTGCCCCTGGGCACTTAACCTCAAATTGCCTACCGATCTGCGTATCGGTGTATGCATGTGTGCACATTGGTGAGTGCGTCTGGGTGAATGTGACTCTAGTGTAAAGCGCTTTGGGTGGTCAGTATGACTGGAAAGGCGTTTTATACGTTTAGTCGATTTACAATTTTTACCCAATCCAAAGAACAGACTTCCCGACAAGAAAAATTAGGTAAAGAAAACTCTCAGGAACAAAAATCCACCTAAACCAACATCTATAAAGCCATAGTGAACTCCATGCAATGCCTGTCTGACTTATGACTAGACATGAGAGTTATGTCAATCTTCGCATCAAACCTTAACTTTAAAAACTCTATTTCTATATTTTAAAAATTATATTCAGTACCTCTTTACGGTCTAATAAATCACAGAGTATTTGCAAGGCCTCTTGCCTACATAACATGAATGAATGGACCGTGTGTCCTGCTGTAAGATTTTCCGCTCTCACTGGAATCCAAGTAGGTAATTGAGTGCTAATTGAGCGTATCGCCAGAGAAGAAGAACAACAACCTAAGCAAATGGAAACACACAACAAAACACTGCAAGGCTGTTTAACATTCATCCTATTTGGTTCATCAACAAATAAAGTTCAGTGTCCACCATGAGCCTGTCAGTATTTCTCCAGCCTAAGTAGATATGACAAGATCAGTTTGCTGCCATCATTTACTCTTCATTCTCTCACTCTCTGCTTCTTCAGACTCATCAGTCTTCATTCTTTCCATCTATCCTCATTTTATTAGAGTCCATCTCCCTTTGCTTAAGTTTTCTCTGTTTCTGCTCTCTCCTATGTGCCTTTCCTTCTATGCCTCCTCCAGTCTGTGTATGAATGTGGCCAATTGTGCAGCTGAAATACATCAGACAAGAGAGAGCAAAAAGACTGAATAGTAATTCAAGGAACAAGGGGAAGTAAGAAACACCTTATTTCCTTCCCTCTCCTTTCTTATAATTTTCATTGCAAGACTGGATTACTCAAAATGTATGCATACCCACAGGGATCCTCTGAGAACACAAAAAGAAGCAATGAAAAGAATGATACAGAGGAGGTCAGAGAATAGGCCTAAAGATAAGACAGGATTCAGTTCACTTACAGTTAATATCAAGTTTTTTTGAGTGGAAGTTTCACTTTTGTGCTGCCTAACTAACAACCCCTTCTTGTTTTATTCCCCCAGCTCCATCCATCCTGCTTGCACATTCACCACTTATCAATATGAAGGCACAATACCAATTGCTGGGCTAAAACTGCAGAGGGATTTTATTCACTCTAAATGGAAGCACCCCTAGAGTGACTTGTCATGTAAGAATTATAACTCACACGTGTTGGAAGACAGAACTCCAAAGAGATTCTGACCAAAGCATTCCTGGCTGGGGTAAAAACCTAGTGAAATAAGATATTACCATTTTTCTCCCAGATGAAAATCAACCTGCCACTGTCGTGAAGGCGCTGCATGACATATCTTAGAGGTGCAGACACTGGGTTTATTACTCCACATCATCACAAATCTGCTTTTTGATCTGCTACAGCTAAAAAAGAGAAAACAGATCGGCAGTAATTCACAAAGCTGAAAGGGATGCCAGTTTTCTTTTTCCTTTTTTGGACTGCATAACAGTCAACTCTACAATATAGTTAATTGTATTTCCTTCAGGAAAACAAAAATTACAGCACACAGGGAAATTTTGACACATGACTTTTTCTTTAGAGCAGAGGTTTGTTTAAATAAATACCAAACATGTAATCCTATCTTAAACTAAAATACCTCCAGAAAATGTGCCTAAAGTAAAATTTGCAAAATTCTCAGTATTTCACCTAAGAACTGACTGGCTAAATAACATCTTTAGTCTTATCTTATAGTGGTGGCATACTGAATATAAACTTAATAATACTAAAACTGTTAGGTGCAATGGCCCCACTGTATTAAAATATCTCTTAAGCTCCACTTGTTAAAATGAGCTTCATACACAGAACATAAGTTTATGTGTTTTCCAATGTTATTTGTAAATTATGCTGACTGTTCTTTGGCTTGTCAGAGTTGAGACCATGCAAATCTGAAACTTAACTTTACTCATAGTCTAAAGGCAGCTTTTGAACTTCCATTTCTATGTTAAGAGACATAAAATTTATTACAGGCATATAAGATAAAATGCCATAGCTATTTCAGACTTACTACCTATTCAGAAAAACATTTCTTACAAAAGTAATCTTTCCTTCATTGTTACATTTGTATAGCTAATCTTATTCATGTGAAATATTATTTATGTTTAGTCAGAGAGAATAATGCATGCTTAAGTTACTTCTGAATGAATTATAGAATCTGACCAATCCTTGCAAATGTGAAGTATTTTGAAGCAGTAATTTATTTTTGAAGCTAGAAATTCAGGAATTTCTACCAAAAAAATTATCCAGTTGTAACAATTTTGGTTTCTCACAAAACTGAGTGCATCGCTAGCATTTTCAGAAATATTTTATTATATAATTTTATGGGACAACACTGAAGATATAAGACTTTGATACAACGTAAACTAGTCAGTTCAGCTTGTATAACAGTTTAAATTGCTGTCCCCTCAAAATAACTGAATGCACAGACATGTTAATGTCTAAACCACTGGCAACAAAGGTGAGTACACCCCTAAGTGAAAATGTCAAAATTGTGCTTAATTAGCCATGACACTCCCACCACCGTGTTTGACTGTAAGCATGATACACTGTCTTTTTACTCCTCACCTGGTTGCCACCACACACACTTGACATCATCTGAACCAATTCAGTTTGCCCTGGTCTCATCAGACCACAGGACGCGGTTCCAGTAATCTATGTCCTTAGTCTGCTCATCTTCAGCAAACTGTTTTTGGGCTTTCTTGTGCATTATCTATATAAAAGGCTTCTTTCTGGAATGACAGCCATGCAGAACAATTTGATACAGTATGTGGCATATGGTCTGAGTTCTGACATGCTGACCTCCTACCCTTCCAACCTCTGCAGCAATGCTGGCAGCACTCATGGGTCTATTTTCAAAAGACAACCTCTGGATATGACACTTAGCATTTTCACTCAGCTTCTTTGGTCAACCATGCTAAGGCCTGTTCTGAGTGGAACCTGTCCTATTAATGTGCTGTATGGTCTTAGCCACTGTGCTGCAGCTCAGTTTCAGGGTGCTGGCAATCTTCTTATAACCTCGCCATCTTGATGTGGAGCAACAATTCTTTGTATCAGATCCTCAGACAGCCATTTGCCATGAGGGGCCTTGCTACATTTGCAGTGACCAGTATGAGGGAGTGTGAGACAATAACACCAAATTTAACACACCTCCTCCTCATTCACAACTGAGATCTTGTAACACTAACTAGTCCCATGACACCAGGGAGGGAAAAAGGCTAATTGGGCATAATTTGGACATTTGACTTAAGGGTGTACTCACTTTTGTTGCCATCAGCTTTGACGTAATTGGCTGTGTGTTGAGCTGTATTGAGCAGCCAGCAAATTTATAGTTATACAAGCTGTACACTGACTACTTTACATTGTATTGAAGTGTCATATCTTGCGTGCTGTCCCATGGAAAGATATAATAAAATATATAAAAAATGTGAGTGAGGGGTAGACTCACTGTTGTGGGACACTGTAAATGATCCAAAGCAAGAGCTGGCCCACAGCATTGTAAACTAAGCTGTTAAAAGCTGCGGGCCAGAAGGGGACCTGTAAGTGCACTTGCTTTCTCAATAGGCTTCCACATTGAATGCGGCACCAACTCTGCTGCGCTCAGAAATCCATTCATTTGTATTGCATGCTACACACAACAACAGTTAAGCACTGCACTGAGCAAAGCACAAATGAAGCCAAGCTCCCACCTTGGTGTAGTGGTGTGCAAAGATCCGTGGAGCTTGCCCAGGGCTCAGGTCAAAATTGGCATGTGTTGAACTTTGACCATGTTGCGCTCCAGCCGATACTCACGCAGCTAACAAAGGCCGACATCTATCAAACTGCTCGAGACCGAGCAGAAAGCTGCTGATCAATGTGAAAACTTTCTCACTCTCACTATGACAGGTTTAGTTCTATTGTTGGTTTAAGCGAAAGAAAAATTGCAGCTTTGCAAATAAAATGTAGCCATTAACTACTTGTTATTCTGCCTCTTTTACACTGTAATCCACCATAAATGAACAGAGTACAGCGCTATCGTGTTGTTTTCTGTTTATCACCACAGGATCACTGCAGACTTCTGTGAGAAGGTCAGCAAATGCCATTGTCGGGGTTGATGTTCTTTACAACAAATATCAATAATCAAAACTCCATATTTAAAGTTGTGTTTATCAAGGATTAGTCTACTTTTAATCAAATTTAAAAGAACAGAGTAGAGGTAGTTGAGAAGGTTACTTTTATTTATTAACATTTAGAGTGTATTTTTATGTCAAGACTTCAGAATGAATTGATAAATATGCTAGCTGTAGTTATACACATTGAAACCTTTACATTTCTATAGGTATAGTTTAATCTAAATCCATTAATTTAATCATTTCTGCTGCTTGTGTCTGCTGCAAATACATCTCATTAAATATTTCACAATTATCTGTGATTGCTTGCAAGCACAATCAGTTAAACCTGGGACCCTCTTAATGACTACTGAGTCTGAATTTAAAAGTCATAAATTAGTAATGACCATTTATTTGATTTAATTTAATTTATTTAATAAATATTGTAAAGTGACTAATGTGATGGTCTGGTATATCCACTCAATGGCATCTTCGATTTAAGTATTTACTAGTAAACCATGAACGTAGGGCTGTTAAATGCACAACAAATTAACATTAGTTTTGCTTTGGGATCTGGTGGTTGTTGGGCTTAACTTGAAGTCGCCCCAAACTCTTTTCTTAGTGCCGCAGATAATCTTTGAATGACTTGTGTCAAAAGCATTCAGGATGGGAGAAAGATCTGTAAACCTGCTGGGCAAAGAGAGCACATTTC